ATTTTTATTCAGTTTGAATGAAAAATTAAAATTATCATTTTGAAGGAGGCTTGACGAAAATTAGTAGAATTTGAAAATTTTGAACTTAAATTTATCCTTGGATCACACTCAAGGATAAAAGCACATACGAAGAAGAACGATTCCTGTTGAGAAAATGCCAAGAAATCTTGGAGGACAAAGATTCTACTTGTTTCATACAATACCCCTTATTTATAGGGGTTGATATTTCTTCAAGAGACACGTCGTTATCATTATGACATGATTCTGGCCAAAATTTCGGGTCGATTCTACAAGGTTTCCCCTTGTTGGCCGCTAAATTGGGTAGGTGATGTAGTTTTGATTTAATTTAATATACATGTAAATTTATTTTTTTCTAGAAAAGTAGTATTTTTATTTTGAAAAGTAATGTTTTAATTTTTGAAAATACGAGACCGAACCGATATCATATAAATAATAGTTTAAATAAACGAGCACAACATTATAAGTGACATATCTATCCCAAGAAATAGACATATCACTTATCCATGAGCTTGATTAAATAAACTATAGAATTTATGACGTCCGTTTAGTCAGCGAACTATTTATATAACCCAATAAATTTTCCTATCTAATATGAAAGATTATATAGGTTCTATATTACCTGGGTTCTTAAAGCTCCATATAGAGAGACAAGCCCCTATAGTTATGTTCATCTCAAATGATCGAGGTCACTTAAGAAAACTCTCGATTTAGATTAGAAATGATTATCTTCAAGAATATCAAAGAATAAACTTTTCAAAGATCTGAACAAGAAATATAAAATAGGAAAGACTCAAATTTGGAACATTATTATAGGATGCAAAGAAAGAAAATTATTTTCACAGATCTTGAGGAGAACCTCAATGACTTCCGAAGCTATCTTATGGTTTAGTTTCAATTTCGAGAACAAAATTATTGAATGTTTCATCATGTCATTTATTATTATTTAGGGCTTACATTTGTGTGAGACAATCACACAAATATCCTAGAAGATATGAGGATTTATGTCGTGATGAACGACAATCTCGGAATCCTAAAATGAGTTAAGGCTTAGATTGTGCAACATGATCATGCAAAGACCTAAAGATAAAGTGAAGATTTTTGTTGCACTAGGCAAACAACCTCGAAGTTAGGGCTTAGATTTCAGTTAGGATATGTTAACATTTATGTCAAGTCGGGCTAGGTTTTAGGTTAGGTTTTGGCTGGGTTTGAGTCAACCTAAGTCAGACCCAAGCCCAAGTTTAATTCAGGACTATCTAATTGGATTAACTTGAACGTAACCTAACTTAAAAACAACTAAGAAAATACAAAAGGAAAAGGAGGGAATAAACTTACCAGATAGAAGCAGAAGGTGCTCAATCTAATTGTTATGCGTTTTTTTTATGTATGTGTTGAAGGAGGGAAAGCAAGGGCCTATATATAATAGCTTGAGGTGGAGATGGGAGTTGTTATAGCTCAAAAATTAGCTCCGACGATCATCAATTGAGGCAAGAATCGAAGGTTTTGACTCTTCTAGCGGTTGGAGCTCCGATGGATCACTGAAGGTTAAATGTCATGTGTCAATTTATTGTTGGATGTGAGGAAAAAGCCACAGATGTTGGTGTGGCTTGAGAGCATTGCCATGTCTTTATCGGGCATGGCTAAACTTGGTAACTTCTAAGGGTGTCTATGCCCGAATATACACGGTCACACTAGTTTAAGGATGTGTACACAATCACACATGGTTTCTCTCTTGTGCGCGGGGTGCAAAGACACAAAATCATAATAAAAAAACATAGCCTCTGTCTACCACTGGTAAAGCAACACTCAAGGATTTCAAAGACAGGGTAAATCTTAGCTCAATATCTCCAAGTTAAGGCAATTGAAGTCAAAGTATGAGCCCCAACTCACAAAAATTTAAGTTAATGATGAAAACTCAAATGATTCATGAATCGTTTGTTCTTAGCCCATTTTAAATAGATTTTGGATTTGAGATTGATGTGAGTTGGTTTTGAGCTTGTCTTAAGCTCGAATGAAGGGTTGATTGAAGGTGAGGTCAACATCTCATGCATTTAAGAAGATCTGGGGTTAATATTGAGGGTTGATGACATATAACATTCCTTACATCAGCTAAAATTTGGGAAGATTGATCAGGGATAACGGAAAAGGCAAATTGACCCTAAAGAAACACCTTAGGATTAATTTAATTTGGTCGGGCTAAGGACATTAAACAAAGCACTACTAAGGAGAAAACTCACATGTTATTAATTGATTCTAGTGTGTGTTGTGTTATTTTCTTTGAATTAAAATTGAATTTATTTTATTTTTGCTTTTAATTTGAATTTTCATGTTAATATTTATTTGGATACATTATCAGAGTAGGTTGCACTGCACTTTATCAATTTTTCTATGATTTTATTTTATTATGATGATCTCCTTTATCTACTTGAAGTCTTACAAGCAATGTAGATGTTGATATAGATGTTTACAATTTTTGTTGAAGAGAGATGATGTACTATGATGTTCGATTACATGTGTCACATGTTGTACAGTTTTCCATTCTTGAAGTTTTGATGTGGCATGAATGAGATAGAAAATAAGTTTGAGGGAGGGAGCAATACTTATGTATTTTTCTAATAAATAATTTATAAATATGAGTAATAAACTTCACCTTTGAGTAGTAACTCATGATAGGATCAATGGTGATTTGATTAGATTGTACAATAAATTCATAAGAAATGTGAATATTCATTAAAGGTAGAAATTAGAATTGATTTTCTAATGATTAGGGCCTTAACTTTAATTATTTTACCTAAAGCCTTAAAATTTCATGAATAATTAAAAATGTGTAATTCAAAATTTAAGTAATTAACCAGAGATATTTAAGCCTTTAAATCTACAGCACAAAAAATCTACTTGAATATTAAATGGTCTTTAATATTCTGAAATTCATATTATTAAGTAATTGAGAAATATTAATTGGTGGAGAATGAACATTCAAAATTCTTAAGAGAAAATATGCTTAACCTGATATAGTAATTCCCAGTGGAATTAAATAAATTTTGAGTGGGCTTAAGAGAACAAAAGGAAAATGAAAAGGAAAATTTATGCAATGCTTTGATCCAAAAGAAAAAAAAATAAAATAATAAGTGGCAAGTCTTTTTTAGAAGAGGCTTGAGGTTAAACATGAAAAAAAGAAAATAATAATGTTCTAGTCCCTTCCCAATTAATAAAAGCTAAATATTTTCTTATTGAAATTTATAAATAATATATTATATATAAATTTAAATAAATTTTGGTTATTTTACTAATAATTAATTGACTTAAAATTAATTTTGGGTAATGCAAATATTTTAATCACACTGGATTAAGTACGTTGAAACTTGTTTAAGCTCAGAAAAAAGTTAATTAATGAAATGGATAGTTTATTAGAAATTAAGGAGAATCCAACCTTGAAATGATATTTGAACATCTTTTATTATGAATTATATAGTCTTGTTTAGAATTATAAAATCCTAGATGATAACCTATAAAATCATTTTCTTGATTCTATGTTTAGCTATGAGATTATTTGAGGGGAAGTAATAATTAAGTTTGAGAGAATTGATGTGAGGTAAAAATACAATATATTTTTTTAATAATTCTATATTTTAATTCATGATTATGATAAGTTTACACTTATGGAAGGTCTTTGGATAGTGTTTTACATAATATAGGTGCTAAGCATGCTTCAGGGAGCTGAAGATGTAAAAACGACCAAAAGGCCAGCGCACCCGCACCTCCTCACAAAGCTAACGACACTGTTATGTTCATCTGTAGCATGTGCACATCATAGACCCTAAAAGGTTATGAATCCGCACTGCACCTCAACACATCTGTGTCACACTCTCAGCACACCCGCAATATTGTGCACATTTTGGCAAATTTAAAATGCTTTTGTGTGTAGTTTTGAGGCTTGAGCATATAAGCTGTTGTATTGAGGTCAAGGAATAGCTCTTGGCTAGGGAAACTTCCTCTTTCCTTACTTTTGCAGAGTTTTTGTAAACCATAGGGTTTTACCCATTAGTTATTATTGGGGGAAGATTTCTATGGTGTTTTCTTGGAGAGCTGTGAAAGCTGTGAGAGAGAAATTTGTGAGCACTTGTACGAGGGAGATCTACGGGAGCTAGTATTATATATAGAGGATTGCAGGGTATTGCAAAGGGAAATTAGCTTGGTTGTGATTCTTCTATATGTGCTTATGTTTTTTTTTTCTTGATGGTTTCAATGGAAGTTCTTTTATTTTCTTCCATCATGCATTAGCTAATAATCTTTATACTTCTATGATGTAAGATCCGTGTTGAATTGATGTTTTGATCTATGAGTTATCCCTTGAAATTTTTATTTGCTTTGGATTTAATATGTTGATGTTTTAACCTTCTGAACATAGTTTACTCCTACTATGGCCAATTAGGTAGTCAAAAACTCTTGCGATCCGGAACTTCTAAATATTGACTATAAGAACAAGTAGGTTAGCATACATTCGCCTACTGGAATAGACATATTTTCAATAGGAGAATAAAATCTTGATAAAGGATTATAGGATTCTTGGGAAAAGTTTCATGGTTATATCTACTTAACAGTAATATGAGATTTCAATGCTTCTTATGACCTTGACATAGGCTAAGAAGGAACTGTCTGTAATTTTCAACAACAATATAGGAAACCCTTAAGAAAGAATGTCGAGAAATCAATAGACTAGTGTCACAGGATTATGAACCTTTCACTTCTGAAGACTTTAATGAAACTTAGTTCTATTTTCTAATTAATGTATTAGGATTTTATAACATTTTACTTTCTATAAATTTGAAACCTTCAAATAAACTAGACTTAGTGTTGTAATAAGCCATAAATTACCCTATTAAAAAAGTTAGCAATTATTCTTGTGGGATTGATACGAGGATTCTAATTCTATATTTTACTTGATTGACACATACTTGTGTGGTTTATGGATTACTTTGTAGCAATTTTGAGCATCGTTATTTATTTGAGAAGTTCTTCCTCTAGGCCATCATTCCATGAGGGCGATGGTGACCTTCCAAGTGAAGAAGATGTCATGGAAATGCAACCCCATGGTGAAGAAGCTACTCTGGAAGCATAAGAGCTAGCTCATCATAAGACCCAGTGTAAGAGAAAGAAGGTGTTGGTGAGAAGGATACCTAATTTAAAGAGAAGATGGTTGGTTAACCACACGAGACCCCAATATAATGATCCCCACTACCAAAAGGCGGTATGCTGAGAAAAAGCATAGATGGTTATTATGAAATCGTGGAATTGGCAAAATATTAAAATTCTTCAGCTCCACGTGTTGTTGAGTATGCCTCTATTTTTTGGGAAGCCATGTTTTCCCCTTTGGTGGATGCTTTGTTTCAATGGATGGAAATGGCCACACGTTGGAAGTCAGTCACCTTCAGACAGTTAGGTGGTAATCCTCCCATATGCTGATCTTTGTTATTCAGTGCTTACTAAGGGGTCAAAAGAGAGATAAGATGAAGATAAACAAGTTGAAGAAGTCTATCAAGATACTTGAGTGAGGCCACATCGAGTGGATCGATGCTGAAGACAATGCTAGATAAAGATGATCTATCTTGAAAGGCTGGAGATGGAGCTCATTTTATAAGAATGCTATTATGAGGGTTTTGAGGGAGATAACAAGTGGATGATTGCTCGGATGACCACAATGAAAATGCTTGAAAATTTCATTCGAGACCTATCATAAAAAATTGTATACATATCCCCTCTCAAAACAAATTTCAAAAAGAAATTTAGTACTTCATGGACCAGCTATTAAAGCATCGATTGTTTTCATTGGCCTAGGTCTTTATGGCTCAGTTTGAGTAGATAGTCATGGAATATGAGTTGGATGGTGAGGTGGAGAGGAGGTTTGGAGCTTCATCAAATGTATGATGGGGGTGTCTGGCATAAAAATATTTTTTGTTATAAAAGGCGGAATGAATCTTTTTTCTTTTGTCTAACCTTTTATATTATTATTATACACACATGTGCATATGAACACTGATCCCGATATTTTTTATATGTAAGGATTTACGAAGTTAACACAACTACTTGAAGATTTTAATCCCCAGCAACGACACCAAAAACTTGATCCCGATATTTTTTATATGTAAGGATTTATGAAGTTGACACCACTACTTGAAGATTTTATTCCCCGATAATGACAACACCAAAAACTTGATCCCAATTGATCCCAAGAAAAGTAAGATGTCAATTATATTTTTAAATAGTAGAGATTTTACGCAAGTATACGTATCTTTATCTAGTAATATAAGCTTTCTATTTAAGCCCCAAATATTGATCCTATGGAGATCAAGGTTAATCACGTCGGCTTTTAAGAGAAGTTCTAGTCTAGAATAACACGCCCTAGCTTGAAAGGTTGATAAAGGTTACTACAATACTACTTCTACTCCTAAACTAAAATACTTGGTGAAAATAATAAAATGGGGTTTAATATATTAAAAGTACTCTTCCTCATATAATGAAATTAGTGACATGTGTAAAAAGTAAAACAAGTAGTGAGAGTGATTGTGACAAATAGGAGCAATTATATTCGTTACCCTTACTAGAGATGCTATAATAAATATTGGTTAATCTAAAGGTTTAATAATTCTAAAGACAGGCTAGACATGGAAGATACTAGCTCTCACTCCAGAGTTCCCTCTTATACCTCCACCTAGAGGCTAACATCTCGCATCAAAACCTGAAATAATAGACCAAATTAAGGGGCTTTAGCCTGTCACTCTAAGTTCCTCTAATTCTAAACCCATCAAAGTATATATCCCTATTTATTTGCACTCAACCATATGGACTACATTCTCATCCATACAATCTATGTAATTCTACCATTAATTGATTGAGACAACACCATCACAGATCTTACATGTTATCACAACATATTTTAACATGCAAGTTGATCAAGTTTACATGTAAATGAAGAAAAAAGTAAAATCATCACAATATGTTCTCACTCTACTCAATTATATATCCTACATATATCCTACACATGCACACATGCATATTAATTCATTGTAAGAGGGGAGAGTAAAGAAAACTAGACACAACACATGAAGAAACAACAAGAACTTTTCATTGAACAAAACTTTAAAACAATGCAAAAAAGTACTAGGTTCAAATAAAAATATAATGAAAATACTTATCTTGGATAAAAATCAAACTCTCCTCGTATAGAAAAATCAATATCCTTACAATCCTCTTCAAGAACAAAGTGAAAAAAAGAAGAAATCTCTCAGTCTCTCTTTCTCTCTCACCTCGTCGCCCCCCTTAGGGCTCACACCCAAGCCTTCTTATTCTTCTGCTCTTCCAATTAGTTCAAGAGTCTAAGAGTCATTTTAAAAACATTTTCAAGCCTTATTTATTATTTCCCAATGGTGCTTAAGTGTCTCTTCAAAAGTGTCCAAATTCAATGAATCTCCCAAGAGGTGCTTAAGTGCCTCTTCAAAAGTCTTTAAAGACCACCTTCTAACTGCCCCAAATCCTTCTAGAAAGTTCCTTTTATCATTTCCAATGAATTCTCTAAGAGACACACGAAGTAGCACTTTAAAAATCGTCTAAATCTAAAGTATATTCTAGAAGATATGTTGAAAACCATTTTTGACTCTTAAGCGCCGATTTTGGTCGCTTTGTCTAGTGGTTCCTAAACGCCATTTTGGTTGTTTAAGCGTCGGACACAGACACCCAAGTGTCTGGTTTTGGTCCCCATGGCTCCAGTGTGCCCTGGTTAGACCTGGTTTGCTCTGTTTTGGTCCATTTTTATTCCTTTTGCTCCAATCACTCCAAATTCTTCACTTTGATGTACCTACAACCAAAAACACAATAAAACCAAAAACACAATAAAACACAACCAAAAACACAATAAAACATACCTTTAAAGTGCAATATCATTATAAAATATAGCGTAAAAATATTAAATTTTAGGCACAACAAACACACACATACACACAGACACATATTGTCGGCACTATTTTTGGTATGGGGTTTG